GGGTCATGTGGTGGTGGGCGGTCACTCCTCTGTGATCATGCCGGCAGTTGCTCCTCCAGGTCAGGCAACGGCCGGGGGTGGTCACTTCTTTGGGGTCACATGGTGGCAGCAGGTGGGGTGGTTGCTCCCTGAGTTAATGGGTCCCGTGTGGTCAAGCTAGACAGCAGTTATCTTCCCAAATAACTGTGGGAGCAGCGAAGGCAGTGCTGTCTGTCACTCCTTCCTGCTGTCCATCGCTCCTTCCTACCGCCCCTCTCTCCTTTCTGCCCATCACCACAAATACCTTTTTTTAATATCAAAAAAGAAATCTTTTCACATGAACCTTTTCTGATGGACTGAACAGGAATTAGAGTGGCAACATCTGTGGAAAGAAATATTGGAGAAATTCAATATCATCAGTCAAAATTAGATCACGTGCTTACCATGGAACAGATCATCAATTACTCATGTATAAGTTCAAACTGAAGTACAAAAAATGAAAACAAATCCATAAGAATCAAAATATGACCTTGAGTATATCCCACTTGAATTTCAAAATCATCTCCAGAGTAGTTTTGAGGCACTGAACCCTAATTGTCAAAGACCAATAAATACATCAAAGATGTCATCTATGAAGAAAGCCATAGGTTGTTACAAAGAAATTTAGAGTTTGAACCATGCAGTGATTTCTTGATCTGTTTTGATGATTGCTGATGTCACTGCCCCACCAAGTGGAACCTGGAGCCCCTGCACCAGGAGCACCAGTAACACAGGGGAGTGCAGAGGATATAGGAAATAGTTGGCTGGGGGCAAGAGACAGAGATGCCAAAGGGCAAAAAGAGAATTTCCAGAGGCATGCTGTTTAAGAAGTAGATGTCACTCCTGTTTCCAAACCTGTCTTAAACTGGAAGCTCCATCAAATACTGTCTACCATGGGCAGCTATTATGGCATTTGACACCCCAATGATACAATGTTCAGCATCACAGAAACCCCAGGTTACCTCAGTACAGCAAATTGACAGAAAAGTGCCGTACTACTTGGAAGAATGTTTCTTCAAAATATAATAACAACCTACTTCTAAATACAAAGGCATTTCCCGAGGTCTTGTTGACTCTAAATAAGAGACTTAAATAAAAAACAACCAATATAAAAAAAAGAAAATTAGGGAGAATATTTAAAAAATTGCTCTCAGAAGGGACTCTGAAAATTGCACTAGAGTGCTGAGAGACCAAAACAAAGGGAAGAAATGCAAGTAAACAGAGGTGAACATATTTCAAAGGGCAATCCATGAAGATAAAGCAAAATAGTGTAATGGAATGTACAAACAGCTGAATTTGGAGACTAAGAAAGGAAGATCACACTTGACATTTGCAAAGCAAAGAACTGAAAGACAAATTCAAGTCTTAAGCTGTGATACTGAGAGATGCTATGGGCAACAATTTGAATGATCCAGGAAGCATCAAAAGGAGATAGAAAGAATATACAGTCTCACTCTAGATAAAGAATTAGTTAGTACTGAAAATTTCAGGAAGTACCAGATCTATAAGAGTCAATAGTAATGAAGACAGAAATTCAATCTGCATTGAAGACACTGGCAAAATATAAAAATATTGAACAATATTATTATCATATGTATGCAAAATATTACTTAAGATGGTCCAAAAGCAATTGGAATAGTACACTGACAGAGAACAGCCAGAAGTTCAAGGTGGGTTCAGAAGAGGCTTTGGCACCAGGGTTATCATTGCTGATGTGAGATTGAACCTGGCTAATGGCAGAAAATGAAGAGAAAAAAAAGTCTGTTAGTGGTTTTTATTGACTATGCAAATGTATTTGACTGTGTGGATCATAACAAACTATGGCTAACATTGAGAAGAATAGGAATTTCAGAATACTTAATTATTTTCATACAAAACACACAATTTGCCACATAGTCAAATCCTTTGTGTAAGCAATGAAACACAGATAGGTATTTGTCTGATACTTTCCACTTTCAGCCAAGATCCTTCTGACATTGGCTGTGATGGCCCTAGTGCCATGGCCTCTCCTAAACCCACCTTGTATTTCTGATAATTCTCTGTTGGTGTATTGATCCAGTCATTTTTGGATAATCTTCAGCAGGATTTTGCTTGCATGTGAGTGATATTGTTGAATAATTTCTGTACTCTGTTGGATTACCTTTTTTGGAATGGGAATAAATATGGATCTTTTCCAGTGAATTGGCCAGGTAATTTTCCTTCAGATTTCTTGGTACAATGATCTAAGCACAAATAAATCACAATATTGAGGGTTTATTTGGACAGTTCATCTTTGTGTTGAAAAAGCGACAGCTCTGTTCTGAAAAATAGAATAACTCATCTTAAGACCATTACAGTTTGTTTCTGGGGGAGAAAAGCACAAACATAGAATTGAATGTTACTTAAAAGTCTAATCTTAGCATGATTAGTTTGTAAGATAAACGAATCTTTGCAAAATTGATTTGCACAATTTCATATTCACTTTGTTTCCCATTTGCTTTTTGTTTCTGGGGACATTCCACTGTGGTTAGTGAACTTTGTGTATTTTCCCATGTACTCAAAGGCATATTCAAAGGTAAATTTCTCTACTTTTCAGTTTCCTTCTTTAGAAATATTCTACCTCTGTTAAGCTCTCAGTGGTGCTTAGAATTTAACTAAATTTTTATTCTTTTGAGTACTCTGAAGTCTTATCCTTTGAGTTTCTGTTGACTGATGACAATGGATAGCATTTGTAGCCTTAGTAGTTGGGTGTGAAATGAAAATATGCACAGCAAATTAGGTTTTTATTTAACATTTTCTACACAAATTATTCAGTAATGTTGTTCATATTATTTACAACTTGTTCTTATTCTTACAGTTGTGTTAATAGGATTTTCTTATAAATCCTATACTACACAGGGTTGTCCTTCAGGACTGATCTCTAACAGTCTTTATAGCTATGAATGATACATTATCTTTACTTAACTTTTTAATTCCAAGCATAAAAGAGCAAAGTGATTCAAAGTGAGGTACACCTCAGCTGGGTAATGCTGATCTTTATTATTCCATTTAATTTTTTTAACTTCCAATTTTCCTAGATTTAGCTTTCATACATTCCATGTCCCAATTATTAATGCATGTTTGCAGTTGTTTTCCCTCATTTTGAGTGATTTCCAGTCTGGACTAGAGTGCTGAGAAGCCAGTATTATATCAAACTGTGTTCCTCTATTGTTCATAGGGGTTTCAAAGGTCATATATTTGAAAAGTGGACAGCCAATCCTGCTTCCTGAGACACGGGATGAAGGACACGCTCATATAATATGGAGCAAGATTAGATCTGTGACAAAGTGAGAGTGTGTTTGTGTGTGTGTGTGTGTGTGAGTGTTTATGTAGCATATTATGTTAATCTAAAGGTCTTGTACTCAGGAAGTTCTAATTCACCAGCATCTTCACAGGTAGAAAGATAATCAGTCTCCTTCCAATAAGAATCATAACTTTGGAAGCCTGAAGGAGGGTCACTATGAATTGTAATCTACTCTATGGTAGTGGCAGCTCTCGTGGCTCTTCTTGTTGTTGTTAAGCACCACCAAGGAATCAGAATCAATCCAAAGCTTATTCTCCCTCCAGCAGGTTTTCAGAGGTACTTAGTTGAATGGGAATTAATTGTCCTTCTTTCTCCATGAAGCATCTGGTATATTTATGAAAGGAATTCTTATAATACAATGTTTAAGTGTTAAGCTGCTAACTGTAAGGTCAGTAGTTCAATTCTACCAGTCAGATCCGGTGCTGCAAACCTGAGGGCATGCAGTTTACATTCACCAGTTGCACCACAGAAGGATGGGAAATCTCATTTTTTTGTAATCTACAGCCTCTGAAAACGGGCTGGAGGGTCAGCCATAAGTCGGTTCCAACTCAGTGGCACATCACCAAAGTACACCTTACTGACATGGTTGTTGTTGTTGTGTGCCCCAGAGTTGAACTGACTCAAAATGGACCTTCCAGCTGTTTTTCAGAGGCTGTAAATCACACAGGAGAAGACTGCCATCTGTCCTCTGCAGAGCAGCTGGTTAATTCAAACTACTTGCCTCTGGGATTGCAGTACAACTTCTTACCACTAAGCCACCAGACCTCCCACTACTATAGAGTAGACTCAAATTCATACTGATTCTTATTGAGAATCTTTCTCTTCGTGAAGGTGCTGGTGAATTACAACTGCCAGAGATAAAAAGCATTTTGGTTAGCATAATGTGCTATATATACAATACCTTCAGAGAACCTCAAATAAAGTTCAGGCTCTTACATAAATTAAACTGTGCTCATGAATTGTTGTACAAGATATTGGTTTATGGTGACACAGACTGACTCAATTATACCTCAGTCATTATCCTGAAGCCCAAAGAAAAGAAGTGAGGTACAATGTCTTAATTATTAAGTACTGTTATTGCAGAAATACCACAAACAAATGGTTTTAACAAAAAATTTATTTGCTCACAGTTTAAGAGGGTAAAAATCTAAAGTCACTGTGCTTTCTCTAATGTACAGCTTCCTTTCCTTCTTGGTTCTGAGGAAATGTCTTTGTTCAGCTTGTATCTAGTTTCTTGGAGAATTCTTTGTGGCTTGGAATCAGTCTTCTATTATTTTTGCTTCTCCAGAATATTTAATCTCTTTTATCTCTCAAAAAACACTCTATAATATAACCTAACAAACCCAGCTCAAAGTGATGCTATTTACAAGAGAGGGAAACAGTGCCTGGTCTTGTGCCACCCTCATAACAGATATTATGCTTTAGTCATCATTATATAATTCCATTTCCCCCCCTATTTCTTTCACCAATCCTCCTCTTTTTCCTTAACCCTCCACTTTGTCAAACTTTATCTCTAACTCTAAAGACAGGCCTAAGTTAAGATTTACAACACACAGTTTTGGAAGGACATGATACAATCCATAACCGACAGTAAAGAAAAATTCGTGCTCAAATATATTTTAATTGGGATCTGATATAAAGCCAGAGGGCCAGGAAGTACTTATGCTATACTTGGTGGGGGAGAAAGGTTTACAAATCTGTTACAAAAATTCTCGTTACAGCACGTAGTGACCAGGTGTAGTGTTTGTACAGTCCAGTCCTGATGGCGGCACTGATACTGACAGCGTTGGTATCCATAAACGAAACGGTTACCTGGAATAGAAGAAAAACAAGAAAAGGAGATCTCTGATCACTCCCTTCAAATTTTCTCCAGGAGGGCAACTGTTTTCCACCTAACAGATAAGCAATAAAAATTTGTTGGAAGAGGAAGAATCATTAATTTAGTTAGTAAGATGAAACATCGCATTGTCCTGGGAGTCAAATTGCACGGTAGGAAGAAACTGGAATAACAGAAGTGAGTCTAGATAGGTAAACCTCCCTCATCTCTGAATAGTTTATATTAAGACCTCATTTCCATAAGGTTCTACTACAAATCAGCTCCAGTAGAATATTTATAGCTTGGTTCTTTTCAAACCCCAGAATCTAATAGCATCTTTTTGCTTGTTGATCTTACAGCACCCAAGGATCCAGATGTATTTCTTAGCAAATTCTTTTTCTTTTCATATGTCTACTTTTCTTATTAAGGGCCAGTGACAAAAACAACACCAAAACTGGAGAACTCTGTCTCAAATATTTAAATGGTACTGGTGAGGGGGAATCTTCTCTCACATTCTGCTCAATGTTCCAGGGCTCCTGACAAAGCTGCCTTTCTGAAAATTTAGCAAGGGTAATTCCAAGAGGGCTTCTGAGTCTCCACATACCTTCATAGGCCGTGTACAGCTTGCAGGCCTCTCGAGTTCGAGCTTCACAGGTGCTTTGGTTAGTTGCACAACTCCCATCAGCATTGATATTATCACACTTGTAACAAACTAGAGCTAGAAAATAAATATCAGGATAATAAGGCTTTTTCTGGGCCTACATTTACCTCTGGAAGTTCTGGTAGCCTCCTCTGGTAAGGATTTGTCCTAGTAACCCAAAGATAGCCCAGTAAATCACCAGCTGTTTCATGGGAGAGAGATGGGCAGTCTCCTCCTGTGCACTTCACTGCCTCTAAAAACCCCCTGATCTTCAGTTATGGGTTGGTTCTAACTTGACTGTAAACAACAGCTTTTGCCACTTTTGGAGTCACTTTGGCTTGGGTCATAGAGTGTGCCTGTCACCTGGCCCACACAACCATCATGCACAATGGTCAGATTCTCACACATGTTGGTATAGATTGGTGTTTTTATGATGTGGTTTGATTTCTTTGTGGTTGTCTTACACCAGCGGAACTTCATCTGCATTTCTAGAGGCATTATACTAAGTCTTTATTGGGGAATACATGTGTGCCTTAGTGGATAAAGTTTGTGCCCAAATAGAGATAGGATTTCTATATTAACAGAAAATGAAGCTTCTTCAAATAGACTATGCTTCTTATAGGAATGACAAAAGCAGGCCTTTATATCAGTTCATTCAGGCATCATATCTTGTGAATGGAAAAACTTTCTTAAGCCTTTCAGACAACCTTCTTTCTCTGCTCCCATTCAAACATGTTTTCATCTTTCAGGAAGAAAATTTGAGGAATTTGTGAGTATCATATATTAGCCCTAATGTGGAAGATGAGTTAAGCATGGAATAAAATAGGAGATAAACGAAGAATAAATGAGAAAAAGAAAATTTGGGCCAAAAGTGAAGGAAGAAAACAAAGGACGTGAGAAACAAGAATATGAATAAGGTGATATGGAGGTTTTGGAGACCGTCTCTAGAGGAAAGGCTGGGACAAACCTTGCACCTTCTTGCCTCCCCGTAGGCCAATAATTCTACCTACCTATGTGGGTCTGCTCATCTAAACCAAATTCCCCCAGCAGCTCACCTTGAAGGACACCCAGCAGTAAAGAGAGGCTCAGTAGTAGAAGCAGGAAATGCTTATCCATCTTAGAACCCAGCACCTTGGAAGAGCGGAAGGCAGTAGAATATCTGCAGGCATTTCACACACTGAGAACTGATGCTTTATAATCTTAGACTGGAAGAAACAGCCAATGAGAGCTTACTTAAATGCAAGTGTATACCTCTTGTCATAGGGAAGCCCTGGTCCTGGCTCCTCCCAGTTTTACTTATCTCACACCCAGCGATCAGAGCCAGATATATTCTGTCATGCCTTGTTTCTGTCTCATTTTCATTAGATTCAAAATGGAAAAAATGCGGAATGATATCTGCCGCCATCAGCCAAAGAATTTGTAAGATTCAGGGTAGTAAGTGAGTCTGAGTAACTGGCTTCAACATTCAACATAGACAAAAACATTTCTATGAAATAAAGATAGAGATATTTGAGGTTTCAAAGAAAGTTTAAAGAAATCTCATGTATTTTGTCTACTGCTAAACAAAGCCATGAACACAAAATGCAAATATGTACCTTACCCTCCAGATTGAATTCTAGACTAAGTGATGTTGTAAGCTGCCACTCAGTCAGCTTTTGATGTTCAGTGACTCTCTATGATATAGAGTAGGATATTGCATGGGATTTTCCCCCTCTTAGCTAAAATGGTCAAGGAAGGTGCTGTTGAGTGGATTGGAACCGTCAATCTTGTTTAGCAGTGAATTGAAAGCCCTTGTGCTACTAAAGGTCTTTCTAGACTAGATTCAATTCAATAAATAACAAGTCGATAAGCATTTATCTAGAAGAGGTAAGAAAGGTCATTTATTATATAATCATATGAAGTTTGATTTGATGAATATTCTGCAAGAAATTTGAGGGGTCTCAGGAGCTTAGGCGGCTTGTGGAGATGCAGTGAGTAGGCAACCCAACTACACGAAGGCTCTCTTTGTGCCTCCCATAGCCCTTAGGCACTTGGCACAAGCCATCCTTGCTGCCAAGATGCCCAAGAGCAAGGTCAGCTTAGCTGGACAAAGAGGCAGTGAAGGAGGAGCCCAAGAGATCAGTGAGGCTGTTGGCTAAACCACCTGACCAGTGGAAATGAAGGCCCCAAAAAAAGGCAGCAGGAAAGGAGAAGTCTTTTGACAAGAAAGGTCAAAGAGAAGAGAAAAGGGAAACAAAAGGACAACAAGCCGAAGTGGTGAAGCAAGAAAGAAAATTTACTTGCCGAAATGGAGAAACTGAAAATGAAGAGTCCAGCCTCTGATGAAGCAGGAAAGAAGCCAAACCTGATTAGTATTTGTCTACCATGTCTTATCTATGGTTCTTGTAGTTCCTTTCTAATACAATCTACGGGAATATATTTTTCAACTATTTTGTAAAAAGCAAGGGTTTAAAAAAATTTCTTTAAAATTTTTTTTATTGGCAACTCTAGAGAGATTGAGATTATTCACAGATTTAGTTTGCTTGGCTCCACAGTCAATGTTCTTGGCACCAACAGCCAGGAAATGAAAAGATGTATTGCGATGGGAAAGTCTGCTGTTAAGGACCTCGCCAAAGTACTGAAGAGCAATGGTGTCTCTCTGGAGACTAAGGTGTGTCTGATACAGGCCATGGTCTTTACAATCACTTTTTATGAGTCAGAATGTTGGATAATGACTAGGGAGGATAGAGAGAGAATTGCTGCCTTTGAGCTGTGGTGCTGGAGAAGGGTGTTGAGGGTACCATGAACTCCTAGGAAAACAAACAGATTCATCCTGGAGAGGGTTAAACTGGGCTGCTCCTTGGAAACAAGGATTCTGAAGCTTTGTCTGACATACTTTGGACATGTTGCAAGGAGGGACTCATCCTTGGAGAGGGACATCATGCTTGGGAGGGTGGATGGACAACGCAGGAGGGGAAGACCCTTTATGAGGTGGATTGATTCAGTGACTGGGGTAAATTGGAGTGGATGTGTTGGAGACACAGGAAAGAGCAGGGTTTAGGGCTGTTGTCCATAGGGTTGCTAGGAGTCGCAAGCTATTCTATGGCACATAATAACAACAACAAGCTCTAGAAACATTTTTAAGAAAAGAGAGCGCCACCTCAACACATTTTAAAGTGCAAATGCTTTTTAAGAGGTCAGATTATTTGTTGCCTGTTCCTATAAAATATGGGATGTTAAAATTGTGGGGGGCTTTGAGTGTCAGTGTAACATTTTGTGAGGGATGGGGACAGTTTTTATATCACATAATACAGAACATACTTAGTGACAATTTAGAGTCATAGACATACACTTAAGACATGAACATTTTAAATTAAGGCTATTATCCATGGTTTTTTTAGATGCATAAATTAGAACATTGTTTAGTTAAAAAAAATTTTTTTAAGGTAACTGCTCCCTTTTCATGGCTTTCTCTCGATCAGAATGATGTGGTTTCTGTAGCATCTTTGGTCTTGGTTGTCTAGTTTTCCTAATAACTTTGTTCTGTTTTGTTAACCATTGACAATTTGAGTGTGTGTAGGTGATAATAAAGTGTTAATTAGTTGGACTAAGTATTTAACACTTTATCAATATTTGAAAATATTGGTACTTATTTTCTTCTTAGTAAAAATTGTACCTCCAAATTTAAAGCTTGAAAGTGACAGGAAAATAGAAAAGAATTACAACTACATAGCTTTTTAAAGGCACTGGGCTAAGGGTAGGGTCAACACTGTAACTGATGCTTAACTCCACAATAAGGGATTTATCTTTCACTGCTCCACAAATTGCTTGTCTGTCAGATACTCCTCTAAATCTGAGCATTCAGATTAAGACAGACTAG